CCAGGCCCTGTTATCGGGGTTTTGCATAAATTAATTAATTCTCACAACCACCTGACGAAGTTGTCCATGGTTTATAGATGAGGAAACCAAAGCCCAGAGAGGTTACACAGGTGACAGCTAGCAGGGCTGGGATCTGAACAAAAGGACCTAAGGAGACTGTGACCACTGCCTCTTGAGCTGTGTGATGTCCAGACAATGGAGCCACTGAAAGAGCGGTGTACACCCGGCCGCGCGTGTGCGTAAGCCGGGCACGCACGTGTGCCGCGGCACCGCCTCAGTCTCTGCCGCCACTCTCCTCCCAGCGGTGGCCTTGGAGGAGGGGCAGGACGAGGTGGGGCAGCGCGCGCTGTTTGTTGATATACTGTTTATATCTGTGATGTGTGCAAAAAGAATTTATAATCATCAGTGTGTGAAGGAAGATTTGTATTTGTCTGTTCCAAGAGAGACTCACTGTTAAATGACGCTGCAGAGGAAAGGAGGCCTCCATCCCCACCCATAACTCAGAAAGAAGACCCCTGCACTGGCGCCCCTGCTCTGCCACCAGCACGGTGGCACCTTTACAGCCTATTTATAGGACTTATGTTCTAGTATTGGACAGAGAGTTTTCTGGAAAAAGAAGAGGTACCCCGACCTAGAGGGAGGGTGGCCTGAGGACCGGGGCTTTGGTCCCCCCAGTTGGGGCAGTCTGTGGGCCGTGACCCAACTCCCCTGATGTCAATCTGTCCATCTGCCCAGCTTCTGCCATCACTAATAATCACTCTCTTGCTCTACAAAACGCCTTCTCCACCCCCAGCTGCGCCGAAGCCACAACTTCTGCAGTTCTGTCTCCCGCAACATTATCATTTAATTTATTAAAGCAGATAAAATCATAAAGCTACAATTCCTTTCCCTTACGTCTTTTCTTTACAACCCAACATAAGGGCACCATTGTACCTGTACTGTCTCATCGGCAAACTCTAAAATTGGTTCCTATCTAATCGCTGATTTATCCCCATAATTCACAGTCTTGAGCCTCCCTCCTTAGACGTAACTGATGTCAAAGTCCTGGGAGACTTAAATCTTGCAGTCAGAACGTGAAAACCGGAGGCATCACTCCTGCCTTTCTAATCTTACCAAGAACGTCCTCACCAGTCTTAGGACACACGCTTCTGCTTCCAAGGCCTGTCCTGCCAGACCTCACGTGACAAGGACAGCCTATCAGCGCGGAAATGAACTTTCCGACCTTGGGACTCCAGGCAGTGTAGTTAGGGCCCAACGGCAGGCAGTTTCAGCACCTCCTCCACCCCACAGGTAAGAACACCTTCTGGGCCAGGTTTTCAGTGGTGGAACCATCCCCAAAGGCCGGAGCTGGAGGAAATTACAGGCAGAAAGAGCATGAAGAAGGCTTAAGAAAACAGAAGCCGCAACGTGTGCCCAGTCCCCTCTGCTTCCCAGACAAAGCCACAGAGGAGCTGTTTGGGAAGCAGGCGCAAGGCTCCCCGGCGGGGCAGAGCTCTGCCCCCCAAGGTGGGCATCCTGCGAGGGAGCCCCAGCCGGCCCCCCTCAGCCGCCCGGGCGGTGGTGAGCAGCCAGAAAAGGCTGGGGGCCTAGGCGGGTGACACAGGAGGCCGCGGACAGGTCTTTGGAGCAGTTCGTCCCATTTCGGTCCTTGGGGCTGAGAAGCCAAATCCCTGAACTCGTTTCATCTCAAACGACACTTGGCAGGGCCGATTGGTTTTATGGGAGCTGTGTCTGGACCAGGGAAAACGTGTGGTCAGAGAGGTCTTTATCTGCATTTCTGCACTCACTCGCGTTCCAGACACGCACACGCAGACCAGCGCGGGGTTCTGGTGCCGTCACCAGCCCCCTTTCTCAGGCCCAGCCCCCAAGAGCGGGCTCCTCTGGCTGGTCCTCCCACCAGGGCCGGGTCTGCCTCTGCTCTGATGCTCCGATGCCAGGGTGCCCGGATGCCCACCCACCATCCAGGCAGGAGGCTCTCTCAGCAGACTGTGCTAGTCCTGGGAACCACTGGGAACGTTTGTAGTTTTATGGTAACTTCCTTCCGCCCCCCAGGCTTGGCTGACAGCCTCCTCCCTCTTTTTTTCTCACACCCTCTCTAGTCATCAGACTGGAACAGAAATACCTCATTAGCCAATCAATCTCCCAGACAGCACCAAAGGATGGGAAAAGACCTATAAAACCTTGCCCGTGAATGGCCCCAACCAGCTTCTCCTCCCTTCCACCTTGTAAACCCCCAGGACCCAGCCAGGGAGGGCGAGGGGGACAGTGGCCTGGGGGGTTAAGAGCTCTCCTCACTGAGCTTGGCCTCTGGGCACCGCCCTGGGAGGTCCAGGCAGCCCTTTAAACGCCCAGGTCCCTTGGGCTTTAGACCCCCAGTGCTCCAGCCCTCCTTGGACTGAGGCGGCTCCGGGAGGTCTAGGCCTGGGCTCACCACTGTCCTGGCAACTTGTATAGAGTCTTTGCCGTGGCTGGGCCCTGCACAGAGGGCTCCCCACCCTCTCTCTGCACCCTGAGGTGGTCCAGTCCAAGGTGCCCTGGGGAAGGGATGCTGTAAAGAATCATCTAGCAAAGCCCTGTCACCTGCTGGCACTTGTAACCTGGTGGCCAAGTGCCAGGGGGAGCATCTCCCTCGCTGACTTCTCAGGAATGGGGTGTGGCCGGCCTGCCGCCCCAGGGAGGCCACAGGCTTGGGACACCCGGAGTTCTGTTTGGCAGGAGATGGTGGGACACTGTGCTTACTTGCAGGGCAGGTCGGCCGTGCAGAAGTTCTGGGCAGATTCCTTCTCACACGCCTCACCCTCCCATCCAGCCGGCTCCATCCACAGAATGAGGAGGTGGCTGACCAAGAGCATCACGCTCTAAAACAACTAGCCCTTGATGAGTCACTCAGCTTTTGCTTTCCAGCTGTCTGGGGGGTTACTGCTGCCTTTGGTGAGGCCGGCTGTGGCCGAGGCAACCCTTTGCGAGCAGACTGCTCTGCACGGCAGCCTAGCCGCCTCCAAGGCACTGCTTGGGGCTTTGCTGAGTGTCCGTGCAGTCAGGCCAGTTGCAGGAAACCCAGAATGCACTGGGAATACCTGCCTGAAACCTTTTAGAGGTCTTCATTTGAAAGCGATGGGTTAACGTTAGGGATGAGGTTTGCTATTTCTGGTTGCTGCCACTGGGGCACTGGGTTCTGCCTAACACGACATCTCTGTACCTCGTTTGGGATGGAGACTGTAATTTCGGTGTTTTGACGTGAAATTCCAATAAAGCTAAGTGCCTGAAACCCTTTAATCCTAAAATAGAGGCCAAGAGAGAGACCTGAACCCCTTCTCTTGACTTCTTTCCCATCTCCTCCCCGATCTCGGGTCCCGACAACCAGGCACGTGGGGACGGGTAGGGGAGCATCTCCATTTGTGGAGTCCTTTGCTCTCCGGGGAGAGGACAGTCGCTTGGCAATTAACCCCTTAACTCGCTCAGGGAACAAGATCTCCTCTTCTCACCCGGGTTTCACAAGCCCGCGAACCAGGCCGAGTTACCCCACCAACAGCTCTGGACCGACCGTGGCGCTGAAAGAGCAAGCCGTCCTCTCCCACGACTGGCCCCTGCCGGCCAGGAATGCCGCCGGCGGTCCGGAGCCCGACGTACGCAACGGCAGAAGGGGCACGGGCTGGGGCTTCCTCGCTTCCACCAGACCAGGGCACCAACGGAAGCTCACGCTGGGCGCCTCCTGTGCTCTGGTCCCCGCTCCGGATGGAGGCATCACCTTGTTCGTGACCAGACTGGCTTCCTCTACTCGGCCTGGAGGGCAGAGCTCATGCCGTCCCGTCCGCTCACCCTGGGAACGTGACAGGGGGAACACTGAGGCTGGAAAGGTATACTTCCTGGGGCAGCAAAGATCAGAAGTTGTGCCCCTGAGAAAGTAAGTGCCAGACTTCCCCGCGGGGACATAACTGTTCCAGATTCAAGTTGATGTGCTCCCTGGGCCCCAGCCAGGCCCCCCTCATAGCAAACTGGGTGAGGAGTGCAGGTATCTCAAGTCTCTTCTGGCTGAAGGACAAGGCCAGGAATCCCTGAGGAGTTTATTACTGAAGAGACAGTCTACACCCTGAAAGGGACTCGGGGGAGGAGAGTCCCGAGCCAGGTGGACACACTGAAATCCCACCTGTCGCTTAGTATATGACCTTGGGGATAGCACTGTGCAGGCCTGACCCACAGGGGGAACTTGGAGAGGGCAGGTGTCCCCGGGGCTCCTGGCCCCTCGGCAAACACCCGCCCTGGACTGAGGCATCCCTCGGGAGGTGCCCGGGTCGTGCTGATAAAGCCACCTAAGTTCTATGACGGGCCCTGGGGAACCTGCCCATCACCCACGTGAAACTTTTTTCAAAACAAATGAATCGTGTAAGAATGCAGAGTGCTAGCTTTACACACCTGTCTTCTGACTGACTGGTGGCCACTCTGGAACCCGGCAGCGCCTGCCAGGCCCTGGCCTCAGGCTCCTCCACAGCACGCTCTCCGCAGCCCTAGCGGGAGGTACGGAGGACCAGCTCGGAGAACCGGCCCCAGGAGTCCCGGAGCCTGGACGGAGCAGGTGCGGGGTGAAGCTGGAGGGAGGCCGCTCGCCCCTCCCTCACCATAGGCACAGCCCCGCCTGCAAGAGCACCAGCCTGCAGGTGGGAAGGCAAGCTACCCACAGCCGATGAGGCGGCGCTCGGGTCCTGACGGCCCCTCCAGGACCGGCCGCCTGCGGGCCGGACCCGAGCTCGGATCCAGCGCGGGACCCCCGGCCACGGGGCCAGGGGACCAATCGTCTTAGCGCGAAGCCACTCACGCGGCCGCTCACCTCTGCCTCAGCAGTTTCTAAAGATGACAAAGCGTGGCTTTAACTTTTCGGAAAAACAAGACCAAAGCAAACCACCAGGCTGGTTGGTCACCCGCAGCCCCTGTGGTGCACAGAGCAGCAGGCTGTGCCCGGGCTTCCTGCTCCGCTGCACAAAGGACCAGACTCATGCCGACCAGAGGAAGAAAGAGTCATTTATTCGAAGGCTTCACAGAGAACAGCGTCCTGACATTTCTTCATATTTAAAAACCGAATTTTTATTCTTCCACCAACATGGTGAACAAAGCACATACAACCATAGGCAGAGCACACGTAACAGCAAAGAACCAACCCATAGGAACCCTTCCGGAATGACGGTCACTGTTAAGTAACACTGAAGGTCAGGAGCTCCTAACGAAGGGCTGTGTGGAGCCGCACGTCCCCCCACCGGCGGGTCCGCGGCCCCGCGAGCGCAGCCCCTGCAGGCGGGTCAGTTCACTCCCGCTCTGCTCAGCCTCACGCCATCACGTGACTGCACCAACCACTGTGGCTTCTGGAGCGTTTTAAAGCCATCCTTCCCTTTGGACAGTCCTGAGAAGCTTAATTTTTTTTTTTTTTTTAACTTCAAACATTTGTGGGAAAAGAGGCAACATCACCACAGACCCCATGGTGCCCGATGGTGCCTCCATCAGGAGCAGGGGGCCCACTGTCCTCCCAGGAATAGCAACACCACCTTGAAAACTACAGAGAAAACCAGTAAGGTGAGAAAAGAATGACACCAGAAGGAGGAGACTACCCTCTTCTTCCACGTTGTTTTTTTTTTTTTCCTTTTCAAAAACAGTATTAAATTAGGAAGCAAACAGGAAGAAAAAAAAACGAATCCATTACATTTTATTATTAATACATCTTCGAGTGTTATCCTGTACTTCTACCAAAAGGTACTAAAATTTTGGAAAATCTAAATACAGGACCTATCAATCAAAGTAATCCCGCAGAGGTGGTCCCAGTACGCAGAAACCCTGACCTTCTGGAAGCACAGAAACAAACATCCACATGCTGAGGGACGGATGGAGGAGGTTCAGCAGGTCTTCCGACGGGCCTCAGGTATCTTCCATCTTTGTGTGAAAACTGCATTGAACTCACAGGGGAGACTCAATTCAGATTCAGGATCTTGAGGTGGCACAACCAGGGTGGGCACAAAGGCATCACACAGCCCTGTGGAGACCGTTTACAAGGATGTGCCTTTGACACGGGCTCCACTGTGAGGGCCACGGCCTCTGGGAAGGTCGCCCCACGGTGTGCACACTGCTGTCGGCTGATGGCTTTAGCAGCCCCATAATCCTTCCTTTGATGTCCAGGGTCAATGTGATCCTGGTCCCACCGGGGCTACGAGTAGATGCATGAAAAAGAATCTCACTGTGATCTTTCCTGCAAAGGAAACAGCAATAAAATTTACTGCCCAGTCACAACGGAGGAATTCTTGTAAACGAGTACCTTTGTGTGTGCCTTTGCTCTCGGCTCTGGAGAGAGGGCCGTGAGCGGAGGACAGGAGGAGGCCAGGGCACATCTCACAGCCCCGAGAGGGGCTTTACAGCTGCACCATGTGCCATTCGCTTTGCTCACACAGGGCTGTGAAAGCCGGCAGCTATAACTTGGGCTCCGTTCACAGGACAGATACTAGAAAGGCAGCCTGTTTCAGCCCCGCACTCACTCCGACTGCTTTCGGGCCGTCCTACACCGTGACAGAGGTATGCACTGCCTGCGTGGCAGGCGTGGCGCCAATGGGTGGAAGTTCGTTCCTGTCATGTCAGCAGAGCTCTAGCAACACCCACACACAGGGCACATACGCAGGGGCCTCCGCCGCCGGTCAGCTCTGCTGCGGACGCTCGGGCCTGTCTTCGTGCGGCTGCAGCCCCAGCTCCCGAGCCTCCGGGCACTCACAGACAGGAAGGCTTTGCTCTAGGGCTCGACTCCTGTTCCTGCTGAACTGAGCCAGTGTGTAAAATGAGAACTGATATCAGCTCAGTAGGCACCGGAGGGCGGGTCCAATTGACAGCCCGGAGAAGCAGTGCCTCAGCTGGGAGCTTGCTCGGCCTCGTCCCGCGGGCGGCTGCAGAAGACACAGAAACCTGGACTGCAAATACAAGAGAGAGTTCACCGTGCTCGGAAATCACAACAGGGAGTCTCCTTTGAAAGTACCCAGCTCTACTCACACGCCATCGACTGCTGACGTGGTCTTACTCGACTTTCGTGATTCACTGGGTTTCAGATTTTTAAAAGAATAATTTTGCAGCTTTCAATACATTTGAACTTTCAGACACCGATGTCTAATTAGCGGATTTATATTTCCGTGGACTTTTGGTATGTTCCTTGCATTCGTAACAAGACAAAGTGCATCATCGTTGGGGCCAGGCAGGCTCTCATCCTCCAGAATCGTGCTCGGTCCCCGAGCTGACCGCTCAGCAGCGGCCTCTGCCCCGGCAGCTCCAACTTAACTGTCCCCATCTCACCTTCTCTTCAGGTGCAGAACTTAGCCACTGTGAACAAAGCGGAAACCAGTCACTGTTCACCAATCAGCTAAGCTCTGCACCTCGTCAGAGAGGTCGTCGGCTGGGCATAATGAAAGGGCTGGAGAGCATCTTCCAAGGCTGTTGGCTTCTTCTGTTTCCAGAGAGGAGCTATGAGATGTATCTGTTCCCCGAACTGCAGAGAGAGAGTAACTATGGCTTCTGCAGGAGCAGTCAGGGTCGTGGTTGCGTGGTAATCCCTGGCAATGTGATTTTAATCTTAAGTCACAAATCAGCATGCCAGGAACCCAAGCAGCCAGGGCACTTGGGGGCAGCGCCGCAGGGCTGCCCACATCGCACGCACCAGCTTCCTCGGGCACAAGGTGACAGCACCACCTCCAGGCCTGCTACACTACCAAATGGGTTTTATTTCTGTTCACTATTCGTTTACTGGGCGTCCTAGGGGTATAATTTTTAAAAATCAAAGGACTCACAGATGACCATACAAATGCCAGTGCAGCTTTGGAAGATGAAATGAAAAATGCACTGACCAGCTGTTCTGGGGTAGCAGGGGGAAAGGGTGTGCACATGACCCTGTGTTCATCCAGAAGGGCAGGGACAGAGGGGCGGTGAGAAAAGAGCAGGCTTGTGACCGGGACTACTCCTTTGCCTGCTTGGGGCAAAAAACATCACAATGAAGAAATGCCAAAGCTGTGTAGCCCGCGGTGGTTTCTCCACAATTTGGAACCCAGGGAACATCAAAGGCATAGTCTGCACCACTGTAGTTTCACACACTTCAAGAAACACAAACTCTCCGTGAAATTAAAAATCTGAAGAGAAATACGATTTATACTGATTACTATATGAGGTTGGCAACACCTAACTGTGTAACTGTTCTGTGTTTTAAACTGGCCCGTCGTTGAACAGGCTCCGAAGCTGCCACAGGGGAGCTCTGGGGAAGCCTGCACGTGGCTGCTCTGCTACGAGATACACAATCGCGGCAATTATTCCCAATACTTCCTTTCCTGGCCAGCATGGCTCCTTGACTCTTCTGGAAGAACAGAACCGGACTTTAGAAAACCTTTCTCTCTTTAGTATTAGAGTTCTTTCAGATAAATAGGACAGTTAAACATATTAGACAGAAATGGTTTTTATAAGAGCAAAACATTAGAAGCAAACTAAATAGCCCACAATAGGTTAAGAATATCAACATAAAATATTAAATATCCATTAAAATTATAGAGAAGCTATATTACATGAAAAATGCTTGAAATTTGATGCTGTTTTTAAAAAACACAAAATTAGACATACCCTATAATATCATGTAAAACCTTAAAGCAAACCAGAGAGTCAGAGAAATGACGGTAGACCAAAAAAAAAACAAAACACTTATAATCCCACAGTTCTACTTACAAAACTTTATGTACCATTGCTAAATCACTTTTAGAATGCAGAAATCCACAGTTAAATACTGCTAAAACGTGAACGTAACAGGTCAGTGCCAAGCACATTTAAGAGAGGAAGCAGTTTAAATATTTAGGACTCCCACTCGAGGTAACCTGCCCGCCTGCCAGCAGACACGCAATGTGGAGAAATTCAGGACACCGGGGAGGAAGGACCTGCCAGCCTCGCCCACCAGGCGGGGACGGCCCGAGGGACCGCAAGTTCTCACACGGCTGCTCACAGCTCAAGGTGTGGGGAGCCCACCACACACCCCCGCGTCAGCCTTCCCCTTGAAGACGCGGCTCACGGTTACACGAGGCTCTCCAGCGCACCTTCTAACCAGCTCAGGATGTTCTCCTGCGAATTCCCTCCCCACAAATAACAAAACCGGAAGTGGCCAAAACGGCGCCGAGGAAGAATGTTCCGCCGGGGTGGGCGGCACGGGCTTTCCAGTGGCCGCTCGGCCAGACGAGGTGCCCCTGCACCCTAAGGGAAGCTGCCCTCAGCTCACCACCTGGCTTACTGGCTTACTTAGCTCCTAAGAGGAATCTCAGAGCCGAGCAATGAGAAAGGAAAGAGAGAGACTCACCTCTTTAATATAACATCTCGGCCACCACCTCGGCTGAGGATCTGTCCATCTGCTCCTTGCTCAGCTCGAAGCACCTGCGGGCGAGATGCTGCTGCCGGGCATCCTCACTCACCATCAGCTCCCCGTAGAGGTAGATGCCCATGGCCTGTGGAGGGCACAGAGGCCAGAGAGCTGAAGAAAAGGCAATCACGTGTCCCCACGCGCTTGAGTGCACAGTCTGTGCTTGTTCCGCACGGACTTGCTGGTCTGGAAGTTACAAAGACCCTAGAAAAGACAGACGGCTGAATAGCTGTGCTTCAGGAGCCTGCAGTTTTCGATCCCCTTCTCTTTCTTGTTCTTCTCGCTGCAACCCCCAAGGAATGCTTGGCTACCAGTTCCGCCGACAGACCCCGGTGGTTGAACTGACGACACGGCGAGCATTTCTCTAGTGATGGCTGCTGAGGACAGGGAGGCTCCCGTGGTGACTGACCCCCGTGGAAACCCCCGCAGCTGAAAGAAGCACCCGAGGCGCCGTGTGTATGTCACACAGACACAGGCCATCTTCCTAGGAAAGTGTGTGCCTAGCGCAGCTGGGGAACGAAGACCACCCCGTCACATGGCGCCATGGGTGGGGAGAGCCATCGGGCCGCCCTGTAAGATGCCTGTTGCTCCAGCCCAGCCTGCCAGCTCCCTTCAACGGGCCCCACTACCGCGGCAAACACTGGCTCTTCTGTTTCGAGAACAATGACTCACATCTGCATTTTTCCTACAGTTTTAAAAACAGCCAGTTATGTTCTGGAAAACCAAAAGATCCACTTGGTTCCGCCTTCTCTCTTGTTCTAAGCTTAGTTATGCTACAGATTACGTTCTCCTGGAGCAAATTAAAAGAAGGATCTCAAATACAGCGCAAAAATGAAAACTCGGTGGTTAGGGGTTCAAAAATTCTTTCCTGAAAAAGCTGACGGTAATCCTTATTTGGCAAAGATCATGGTTCCAAATATACTGCAGTTAATTTTGGTTTTCAGAACAGGCCTTAAGTTGCTCTTACATTTTGTCCTTATACTCCCCTCTCTGTTTCCAAACACCTCTTGCTTCACTGTGCAAATGTGACATTTCTTCTGGTACAAAGTCGTGTATTTTTCTTTGCGGGAATAACGAGCCCTCACTTGCTGGCTGCCCCCTGTACTCAGGCCCTCTCAAAAGTCCCTTTGTTGCCCCTACCCCAACTCTCCACCCCAACCAAAACATGGCTCCATTCTGGCAGCCCACAGCGCCCGGCAGAAAGCTCACTCAGAGGCATGCACTGGTCACGCCAACAGGAACGAGCTGCAGCCAACTTCCCGCAGCCGACAGAAGCCACGGCACATGCACCACCATGGACAGCCACGCTGGGGGACACAGTGTGGCGGGGTGCTGACCCCCATAGGCTGCGGCCCAGCAGAGGCGGCAAGGAAAACATCTTCCAACGGGTTCGTGCACGCACGTGCTTCCTGTGGGCTCCTTGCAAGGTGATCGCCTTCCCTGGTGAACAGTGAGGAAAGTTCTCACGGGAAGGAATCTCAGCACAGGGTTCCACTTGGTGTGGCACGTGCAGATACAGACCAGACTGTCCCAGCCAGCTGGGGCTCTCCCAGTCTAATCTTCATACATACTTTAAGTGAGGGCCACTGAAGGCACAGGTACACACCATGGCATCACTAAGCCACAACCCTGACCTAATGAATCTGAGGTTCAAAGATGAAGAAAGCTCACAAGGTCTGCCCATGCTTCATTTGGTAACGGCAGTGGGCCACAGTTACGTCAAACCAAGGGAGCTTCTAAGGGACATGATTCAATGGGATACAAAGACAGAGGAAAAAAATCAGCTCAAAAGTCTGGTAGGTAAGCACCTAACAACTCTTTAAAATCCTTGAGAAATGTTTAAATATTTGTTATTTAAATAGAGATGTCGACAACTTGGGTGCCCGTGTTACGTCTACTGCATAGTCAGGGGACCGCATTTGTAGAATCCCCACCTGCCGAAAATTGAAACTTACCTGATCCTCCTGAAGGAACCTCTCCACGTTTCTGTACGCTTCTGTGTATTTGTGCTTAACAACAAGTTCACACCATCGATGGCGAACCTTAAGAAAGGAGAAGATCCAGTAAGCAAAAAACTGGTAGGTTTCCTTGGCCTAACAAGTTTAATGATGGAGAGCTTTTCCTGTTAGAAAAAGTTACTCTCTGAAGTATATTAACGTTGTTGACGCTTTTAAATTTCATTTTAATTTCATTTCTTTTACGAAGGAAGGAACCATGAGGTTCCTTCATGAGGAGGGCTGCCAGTCAACTTTAGGGGAAGACGCTGCATGTTTCACTTAGGTATTTTGATGTTTTTAAAGACAATTTTGCAAGATAATAGGTAAATGCAAAACGTAACTGGGAAATTAAACACACATCCCCAGGCAGCCAGGCTGGTGCTCTGCCCTGCAGGATGCTGTCAACGAAGGTTTCCTTTATAAACCACAACTACTTAATTTCCTGCAATAACCGATTTGGTTCAGTGCTGGTGATTGCAACAATAAACACAGTAAAAGGAGGGAGACACTGCTCTCCACATTCCTGAGAGGCAAAGCGCTCCCTCTGAGGAGCTCAGGGTGCCTGCCGGAGGGGAAGGAAGGGGAGCAGCCCACCCTGATGCGGGCAGATCCTGCCACGTGCCCACGAGTGTGTGCTGCAGGTCTGCACGACCTACTGAAAACAGACAAGCTAAATGTGGGTGCCCTTTAGTAAAGATACGTGACACAAGGTTTACAAGCAGGAATTTGCCAGGAAACCCTCCCCCAAACCCTACAGACAATAGGGGAGCTGGATCCCAGCACTGGCTGCGTCTGCGGTTAAGAGGCAGTCTCGCACCACCCCCCATCTCTAGGCACTACAGACACATTCTTTACGTGGAGATGCTACCTACATTTGGTTTAAGAATTCAGTCCTGGGCCGTTTTCTACTGCATTAAAGCCCTCGCAATTAAATCCGGTGAGCAGTCCACCATTTTATATTCCATTATTGGTTCAACACTAGCCATACATGGAAGTGATTATGTGCATTTAAAAAATGAAAAAGCCTCCTTCCATCACTCTTTGTTTTTACTGCCTTTGAAAGAGGGAGACCCTTTATAGTAATCCATTTGTGGCAATAGTAGAATGTAAGCAATTTCAACATTCTGGCTGGGGCCCCTGTAAATTATATCATTACCCACTGATGGCCGGATCTCTTCTTTAATCCACCATAAATGGATTTACACACAAACAATTAGGAATGAAGTAAAGAAAAAATCTTTTGGGAAGAATCCTTCCCCTAAGCTACAGTGCACTCAGACATGAGGGGGTTCTGGTGGTGGGCCCTTTGCTTACAGGCAGCCAGGCCCTTTGAACTTCCAAGAAAAGGATGCCGACAAACTTTTTACATTCATGAAGGAATTTCAGAGGCACATGGAAATGAGCTAATAGCCTTGGATCATCACAGCAAAAGGGAAGCAGGTTGGGCTGGACAGGTCTTGGAAATCTTTCTACCTTCAACAAAATGTTCTCTTTCCTATATAGCCAATAGAAATTAACACCATAAAAGGGAAAGGGTAGCCCTTAAAATATCTGGAGCAGAAGAACAATTGAACAGAGCTCAGATACTGCACCAACCAGAGAAGAAGTTACCAGAACAACCAAATCCCCGCTCTCGTGCTTTGGTTTGAGTACCAAAGGCTGAGCACTGGACAGAACCCAAATGGGGCCCTTGGATGCCTCCATTTCTCGTTTCTGTCCCAACTCACAGAAACCACCAGTCCCATCCACGCACCAGTGGATGTGCTGTGTCTTTTTGTTTGCGAGCTCTGTGAAAGGAGAAGGCCCCGGCAAGTCAGTGTGGCCCGGTGGGATGTCCGCCATGCGGCATGAGAGTCAGGGGACTGGGGCCACCTGCTCTCACTTCTCACCACTGCACAGGGGGACAGCTGTACCAGCTTTTAGGAGAGACAAGTATAAGAGAACTCTTGTCAGCCTGACAGTGATCTAACGGCTTAGATTTTGCAACCTGATCACACCAAGCCTTTGACAAGGACAGTTGTTTATCACTCCAAAACTTGGGGACACTATATTTTTTAGGCCTGATTTTGAGAACGGAGGTATTATTGGCCTCCCATTGTTTTTCTCCCTGTGCTCTCCTTCATCTTATTTACACATACAGAAATAACAAAGCATAAATTAGGGTCTGTTTCCTAGTAGGATAAGGTCCACAGAGGGGCAAAAGGCAGGGTCGGTCCCACTACAACGACTGGAAGAAGATCCAGGAGCTGAGCTGAGTGAAAGAGACTCTTTCACAACCAATATGAAGTCAGCATTTCCACTTCTCTTACTGTTAAAAATAGTCAGTTGTCACAATTAATAAGAGATCTAGTCTTCTGACCCCTGAAGGCTAACATGGCATCCAGGAAATACAGACCAACCCCTCTCTCCACCCCACAAAGAGCAGAAAAAACAACAAGCCTTTTCATTAAAAAAGAATTAAACATAATTCAAATTTTCAATGACAGGATGTTTAAAAGACATCACAGATGTGTGAGGCTGAAGGCCCAACAGATATCTCTTGCTTGTGCCCAGGGTTTTTACTTCTCTTCGCATTTCTTTGAGAAACAAAGAAAATTCTTATCTTTTATCCTCTAAACTGTCCAGGACCCACAATTCGCAAGGCCACTTGTCACACCTGGAACGGGGCTCTTCCCGAAAAGCTGGCAGCAAAGTGACATTTGTCACAATTTCTCCCGGCAATATCTCCACGGTGGGCACTGATGGAATACCTCCTTTCTCCAGATCACTGAGAAACTTAAAAAAAAAAAACAATTCCTGACAGAGGTCACCACACTTGTATCTGGCTCCTTCCTCTGTTAATAATGGAGGAAAGTGAAGTTCCCGGTGCTGGGGAGCATCAGAGAATTCAGAAGCAGAGGCAGGTCTCTAAGAAGAAAGCTGTCTGTTCTGCAGATCTGCTCTTCTTTATTTTCTAATTAATTAATTAGTTAATGGTGGTAGTGGTCACCTTGTCTTTTAACTTCCTCAGTGAGGTGAAAAGTAAACAAACACCACCACATAAATACATCTGTGGGAACACCTGGGCCCGGCAGGCCTTCCACAAGCGTCTATGGACTCTTGACTCCGTTCATTTAGCGTCAGCGTTTCACGAGTGTATACATTACGCTAAAACCAATCAATACTTACACTTTGAATATTCACATTATTCTGCAGTGTCTCAAGAGAAAGAAAAAAAATTTAATGACTTTTTCAACGGTGACTCAGATTCATAAAGTCATTCCAAACTCATGCTAGGCATCACCTGAAAGCCTCGAGCCAGCAAACCTCAGCCCTGAATTCCAGCAACGCGGTCACGCCACAGACAGGTAAGGGGCAAGGGCGAGGGAAGGGGGAGCGGGCAGAAAAAGAATGAGAAATCTCGAGAAAATCAGAAAAGGGACGTTTCAGGAGTGGGAAGAGGCGGAGCTGCCCGTGGCGGCGAACAGCAGGGTCGGAGGACCCGGAGCACAGCACCCTCGTTCCAGCTGCCCCAGAGTGTGTGGTGTCGCAGGGCACTGGAAGCCTTGCCTCTGGAGCACGTGCCCATCTTTTCCTCACTGAGTCTTCAGTGAGGAAAAGTCTTCAGCAGATGGTCTGGCCCACCTCCTGCCAGGACAGGAGCACATCCACCACCCACACCACGCTGAAGGTTCCATAACACAAGCAAAGCATTTAGCAGAGTCCCTGGCACAGGAATGAGGGGGGATGATGATGACGAAAAAAGGGAACGTGGGTCCCTGACTCTTGCCACGATGAAGATGTGCACACACAGGTGTGCACCCATTATACTCTGGTTCAACAAAAATTAGTTGGACTAATTCGAACACTTTTCAAAGTGTTCTGCTTAAGGGACATTGAACAGAAAAATGATATGGGTGGTTCCCTCAGTGCACGGGTAGGTTTTAAATTGGCAGTGCTAATTTACACCTTTGGAAATGAATTCCAGAAGTTTCCAGGTTTCCAAAGCCTCCATGAACAGAGGGTGAGGAGCACGCAGATATCAATGCTCTCCCAGGAGTGCCCACTAATGCAATGGTTCTTTGGGGCTGGGTGCACATGGGAGGGTCTCAGAATTGGGGGCAGGAAGAAGGAAGGGTAAGCCTGCAGAAGCCCATTCATGTCAGACCCACGTTTGGTGATAGGACATTCAAACCCTCCTATAATTCATGTAACTGTAACTGCTCCAGGATGGGGGACCCCCGACCCACAGCAGGGACTCCACCGGGAGGATGGAGTGTATCGGTGGTAACAGGCCCGAGCCACCTGGGAGACCTGAGCAGACATGTGTCCTGGGTATACAAAACATATTTTGCACGTGATACGTATACATGTGTATGTGCGCGCGCACACACACACACATCGAAACAAAAGTTTCTTTTTTAACACTTTCCCTCACTATATGCAATGGCTGACAGTTACTGTGCTTCTTTCCTTATGCTGGCTGGCAACCTACTAAACTGATTTCATGACCCACTGGGTCCTGATCCAGAGCTGTCTCCCCAGGGCGGGGGCTAGAAGAGCCTCTGCCCCTGGGCTGCTGTGGGAACTGCCCCAGGTCGCTGCAGCAAGCGTTAGGATTGTGACTCCCACACAGTAAGTGCTTGTCTTCTTAGCAGGTGTAGCATGTTTCTGGCTTTCATTTCCACTTCAAAAGTTCTATTTCTTGAATTTATAAAAACTTGATAGTATCAACTCCAAGGAAAAGTTAACTGGTGAAAACCAAAGGAGCAAGGTGCCTGTCAGGTGGGTGTTGAGGAGGGAAGGCACTGGCAGGGAGTGGGAAGTGGGAGGGAGAGGATGGGACAACACAGCCGAGGAAGAAGAGCCGGCCCGCCCTGCGCCTAGCCTCAGGACTCTGAGACACCAGCGCCAGCGGGAACCGGGAACCGCAGAGGAAGCAGGGCCTCCTTCAGGGAGGGGCCTCCTCGAGGCCTGGGCGAGCTGGTACTTACCATCCACCCTCGGGGAAGTATACCCAGGGGCCAGGCGCCTGGGAATTTTCCAAACCCATCTGTAAAGACAGC